ACAGGCGTTCACTATGGTCTTTTGTTCTTTGCTATTTCTGTCACTAATCGTCTGTCTTAAATATCACTACTACCTCAGTGTTTCTTCTTTTTGTCCTAACTTTCATCTGCCACCTTTTTGTTTTGTTTTGACTATAACAAAATAAAATCTGAACATTATTTACTGGTAGTTATTTATTATTTTATGTGTAGGAATGTTTTGCCTGTATGTGTGTACCACATGCATGCCTGCTGCCCTCAGAAGCCAGAAGAGGGCATTTGTTTTTCCAGAACTGAGTTAGAGACAGCTATGAGCCATGTGGGTGCTGAACCCGAGTCCTCTGTAAGAGCAGCAAGTGATCTTAATCATTGAACAGTATTTCTGCTTCTTATTTACTGGTATTTAAAACAAAATAATATGCCTCTTGTTTCTAATTTGAGAAGAACCTAGATAGTATCTTTATTTATTTCTGCTTCATTTCTCTGAGAAAAAGTCTCATTCTGTAGCCCAGGCTGGCCTCAAATGTACTGTATTGATGAGGATTTTCTTGAACTCCTGATTGTCTTGCTTCCATCTCTCAACTGCTAGATTACTGGTGTGTATCCTCATGTTTAGCTGAAATTTTATTTTTATAAAATAAAATACAGTGGTTCTATTTTACCAAAGGTTTCACTTTCTGAGGTCTTAGCTATTTACAGTTAACCTTAGCTCAAAAATGTTAAATTGTAAAATCTAGAAATGAGCAATTTATAAGTTTTTAAGTGTGCACAGTTCAGGGTAATAATGTTCTTCAATCTAACACCATTTGACCCCATTTCATGTGAGATAGTAGCTATTGTTCTAGCGTATTTGCACGGCATGTGTTCTGTGCTGGTTTGAGTGAGAATGGCTCCCTTAGGCCATATTTGAATTCATATTTGAATTCTTGGTCCCCACGAGTGGAAAGATTAGGATATGTGACCAGGCCCAGTCTCTTTCTCTGGCTGCCTGTGGATCAGAATGTAAAGGTTTCAGCTACCACTCCAGCACCTTATCTGCTTGTTTCCTGCCATGATGATGGGCTAATCTTCTGAAACTGTAAGCAAGGCCTCATTTAAATGCTTTCTTTCATAAGTGTTGCCTTAGCTGTGATGTCTGGCACAGCAGTAGAACCTTGCCTTGTAGGTGCTTAATAGCTGTCTCAGTTGTCAGGTTGACGGTTGTGGTATCACAGGTGCTGTTGTCATTTCATTTTATTTATTTAGTAATGGTCCCAAATGATTATTTTATTACTCTCTGTCTATTTTGATATTACTTATTGTTGACTTCTTGCCTAATTTATAAGTTAAACTTTATCAAAGGTATAAGAAAAAAAAAATGGAATACATTCTTCAGTATATCCAGCAGATGGCCTGAAGCATGAAATGGCATAGTATTTACGTACAATCCATGTATACCTTTCCAAATATCCAAATTATCTCTATTTTTTTTGTAAAAATCATCTTTAGATTGCTTATAATGATAATACAATTTAAATGGTACATAAATAGTTCTTATTACCATATTGCTTAGAAAATAAAGACCAGCCGGGCGGTGGTGGCGCACGCCTTTAATCCCAGCACTTGGGAGGCAGAGGCAGGCGGATTTCTGAGTTTGAAGCCAGCCTGGTCTACAGAGTGAGTTCCAGGACAGCCAGGGCTACACAGAGAAACCTTGTGTCGAAAAAAACAAAAAAAATAAATAAAAAATAAAAAATAAAGACCAAAAACAAAGTGTATACACATGCAGTGTGAACAAATCATCATAGTTCTAGCTGTGTATTACACATGTAAGTCCTTGAGAGAGACTGAAGATCTGTGGAATGACAGGAACTGCATCTGGGCATCTGAAACATCACTTCCTTCATGTGGGTCTGTTGTAGTGGCCAGTGCATGGCAAACTGAAGTTTTGTTTTTGAAATTTTCTGGGTTTCTCTCAAGTATTTTTCGTTTATAGTTTCTTGTATATACAAATGTGGAACCCACAAATTAGAAGCAACTTGGATTAGTACTATCAGAGGCATCCACTAACCCTCCTGTAATGCATCCCAATAGACAGAGAGATGTACTGTATTAGTTTTGTTTGTATGTGTGTGTGTTTGTATGTGTGTGTGTATGCAGATGTGGGATGGGGTACTGTGCCTTGGTACATATGTAGAGATCAGAGGATATATTTTGGTAATTGGTTCTTTCTATCATGTGAGTCCTGGGGATCGAACTTGGGAACTTGGATCATCAGGCTTGATGGCAATCACCTTACTGAGCCTTACCAGCCCAGGGTTTGATAGTCTGAATAAGAAAAGATAATCTGAAGGCACTATGTATATGTGTGTCACACACACACACACGTACATATATACACATATGTGTGTATGTGTGTGTGTGTGTGTGTGTGTGTGTGTGTGTGTGTGTAGGGAGAGAGTTTTAAGTTGTTATTTTATTGAGGTACAATTTTACAACAGAGTGATCTAGGTTAAAAATATACTATTCAATCCTTTAAGGATATTGTGCAACCATTATTTCTATGTAGTTCCAAAACATTTTCATCACCCCACAAGGGAAATTCTATATCTAGTTAAAAAAATAACTCCCTTCTCCTTCTTTTCCCATGCCTAGCAACTTCTAACCTGCTTTTTGTCTCTATGGATTTACCTGATCTGGATATTTCATATGACTGAAATCAAAAAATATGGGACCTTTAGCATATCATCTTTGTAGGTGTGTCACAATGTGTTTACTGATTTATAAGTATGAACATTTGCATTTTTCCTTGTAGTTATTGCACACAGTGATGCTGTAGAAGTGTTTGTTTGAATGCCTATTTCTAGTTCTTTGTGTATGTGCCTAGGAACAAACTACCAAATTTTATGAAAATTCTAATAACCTTTTGAGAACCTACTAAACTGTTTACTACATCTGTACTATTTTGTATTCCCATCAGCGGCATGTAAGTTTTTAGTTTCTCTATATCCTTAACAACACTTTTTCTCTTCTTTTTTTTTTTTTTTTTTTTGGAAAGGAACAGACTCAGCAGCTCTATTAGCCTGGAGTTGAAAGTCTTTGGGAGGTGACATGCTTCTGCTGGGTACTGCCACAGCTGTACGGGGGCGGGGGGGGAGTAAGATGAAATCCTGTCCAGGGCTTATTTGGGTCTCAGGGCCCTGGAGAAGGCAAACTGTCCAGGGAGGAAGTAGCTGCGGGGGTCCTCTCCAGACTGTGCTATCTTAGTGCACTGTGACTCCTGAGGCTCCTGAGGCCCTTGCTTCAGTATTGGGCAGTGGACCATCCGGCCTAGAACTTTACCCTTGGGGTCCAGTTTGACGCAGGCCAGGCATTTCTGCTTTCTCTGGGGAAGAGAACATTAGCATCAGGATGGAGACTAGCCTTCTGACACTCCACTTTTATTTTCTTCTTCCTTTTTAGTCTTTAAAAATAGTTATTGAAGCCGGGTGGTGGTGGCGCACGCCTTTAATCCCAGCACTTGGGAGGCAGAGGCAGGTGGATTTCTGAGTTCGAGAGTTCGAGGCTAGCCTGGTCTACAGAGTGAGTTCCAGGACAGCCAGGGCTACACAGAGAAACCCTGTCTCGAAAAAAAAAAAAAAAAAAAGAAATACTGCATCCCTGTTCTTCTACCACTCCTAGTTATATCCTAGTTTGTGGACATCCATTCTAAGGGCATTGGTATAGATAAGACACAGATAAGTAGAGATAAGCTATAGATAAGATCTGACCCATAGATGGAGCTGTCACATAAATGTTTACATGTTCATACCAGCCTTATAATCTAGATACATTTGTTTCCATTTTACAAGTAAATAAACATGGGTTCATGAATGCAGACATTTTCTCAAGGTCAAATTAATAAGTGGAGGGACTGAGCTTCAGGCTCAATTTAGATTTAGCTGCCCACAAAGAAATGTTCTTTTCATTAATATTAATGATATCAATACTAATGATCTTAATTATCATTGATTGCATAGAAGTTTATGCTTTACTAAGCACTTAGACTCCCCTCAAGCTTCGTAACAGACACGTGAGCTACACAGTACTACTTTTTACAGATGAGGAAATGAGGCACACAAAAGACAAGCTACTTGTCGAAGCCTACTGAATACTTCGTTTAAAGCCAAGTATGAAGCTGGGCTCAGTGGTGTACACCTGTTGTCTTAGCATTTAGGAGACAGAGGCAAGAGGATTGCCATGAGTTTAAGGTTAGCCTCTGCTACTGTCTTAGTTATTTTTCTATTGCTGTGACTAGACTTAGTAACCGAAGCAACGTTTTTAAATACAGAATTTATTTGGGGCATATAGTTTCAGAGGGTAGAATTTATGGCCATCATGGTGGGAAGCTTGACAGTGGGCATACAGGCATGATGCTGGAGCAGCAGCTGAGAACTCACAACTTGAGCTACAACCATGAGGTAGAAAAAGAGACTAGGGAAGTGCTTCTAATCTTTTGATACCTCAAAGCTTCCCCACAGGGACACACCTCCTCCAACAAGGCTACACCTCCTAACCCTTCCTAAATAGTTCTTCCAGTCAAGGACCAAGTATTGAAATACTTGAGCCTATGAGGGCCATTCTCATTCAAGCTACTATGGCTATGTGGCATATATATGTGTATGAATACAAATACCCTCAGAGGCTAGAGAAGATGTCAGATCATAAGGAGCTGGAGTTACAGGTGTTTGTGAACTTCGTGATGGGAATGCTGGGACTAGGACTTGGGTCCTCTGAAAGAGCAGTATAACCTGCTAATCAGTGAGCCATCTTTCCAGCCCCTAGCTGATATTTTAATAATTAGGACCATTCTTGACAAATATTTTAAGTTTATATAAGATAATCTATGTGACCAAATCATGCCATTTATAACTATCTCAAATCAATTAATTTTTTTCTCTAATTTTTATGCAAGATTATTACTGATTTGATTATATATTAATACACGTTTTCTAAAAGCTAGTTTGTTGGCATTAAATAAAATACTTTCTTTTTTTATTTTAGGTCCACCTCATTCATTTAATCGAGATGAAACAATAATCATTGCTTTGGCATCGGTTTCTGTATTAGCTGTTTTGATAGTCGCCTTATGTTTTGGATACAGAATGTTGACAGGTAAAAAACAATATTACTTGTGGTCTCATCATTGTGGTAGACATGCCATTTAATCAGAATTTATTTTCTTTAATTTTTTTTTTACATTTATTTCTTTGCTTATTTTTTGTGTAAGGGGAGGACAGTAATACATGTATGGAAATCAGAGAATAACTTGTAGGAGTTCTTTATTTTTTCTTCTACTATGTGGGCTCTAGGGACCAAACTCAGATCATCATGTTTGGTGGAATACAGCTCACCAGCCGAACTGCTTGCCAGCCCCGTTGTTTATTGTTTAAAATCTCTGGAAAATCTATATACAAACAACTCTGCTATAATAGTTCTTATTTTTAGCTTCAACAAACATTTTCTTCCAATTTTTACAAGAATTTTTAAAATTTATTTTTATTAGTGTGTCTCTGTGTGACATGTGTGTTGTGTGTGTGCTCCTTGGAGGCCAAAAGATGGCATTGACTCTCTTAGAGCTAGAATTACAGTGATTGTTTAAGAAATCAGTACTTACTCATACATTTTAGTAATTCTACTAACATTTTCTTGAAAATTCAGTATTATAATTTTATACTTTTAAACTGAGTCATTATGGAATTATCTCACAAAATTCTGGTGTCATGCTGTTCATTATTTATCTTCATTAAGGAAATAATTTCTATTTTAGTGATTTGTTTTAACCCCTGCTACAGCTCTTCTTAACTGTAATTTATTTTTATTTCACATGCTTTACTGTTTTTCCTGAATGTATGTCCATGTAAGGATATCAGGTCCCATAAAACTAGAGTTTGAGACAGTTGTGAGCTGCCACATGAGGCTGGAAATTGAACCTGGGTTCTTTGGAAGATAAGCCAGTGCTCTTGACCACCGAGCTGTCTCTCTAGCCCCTTAACTGTAACATTAAGAAGTTGGCATTTTCATTTTAAGAAGGTTCCATATTGGTAAGTGTTCTTATTCTTCCAGGAGACCGGAAACAGGGTCTTCACAGTATGAACATGATGGAGGCAGCAGCTGCAGAGCCCTCTCTTGACCTGGATAACCTGAAGCTGCTGGAGGTAAGGCTGTGCTACTCATTACCTACCCTCCTGCTCAGTACTCACTCATCTCAGGAGCTACTTAGAAAGGCTTTCTGGGCCTGGTGGTGCACACCTGTAATTCCAGCGATCAGGAAGCAGAAGAAAGAGGGTTTCTTCAGGCTTCAGGCCAATCTGGTCTGTGGAGCAAGTTCCAGGCCAGCCAGGGTTTTTGTAAGCAGTTGACTTGGTTAGACACATACTACAAACTTGTCTCTTGGGCAGAAGCCAAACTCTCAGTTCAGTTAGTACATTTACCTAGAATCTGTCTCATGTGTTCACTGAATTCCCTGTTCTGGTTTCTCTGTTGGAGGCATCTTCCTCTCTAGAAGCTCTAGTTGCCACAGATTACATCTTCTGGTTCAAAAGACCTTTTGTGCCATTTTTAGTTCCACTACTCAAAGCTGATTTGAGTCAGCTTTCAAGGGAAAACCCATAGAAATGGGTAGCTCACCATATACACATTCATTCTTCTATGCCTCGATGCCTTAGACTCTAACTACTTTTGCTTATTTTTCAATCTATCTAGGCCTTCCTTGGTTTTCCTTTTCATTTTGTCCAGAGTGTTCAGGTCTCATCAATTGGAAGATTAGTCAGGTAGGAGCTTCCTCAGTTACACCAGACACAGATACTAGCTGCTTCTTGGTAACGAATAAATTGAAAGCAGAATAGAGCTGTTGTATATCATGGGGAATTGTAGGGGTTTTGTTGTTGTTGCATTGTTTTCATTTTAGTAAATTTAATTGTTCAACTTTAATATAAATTAATAACTTGCCTTTTTAAAAACAAACTTACAGCTGATTGGACGGGGCCGATATGGAGCAGTATATAAAGGTTCCTTGGATGAGCGTCCAGTTGCTGTAAAAGTATTTTCTTTTGCAAACCGTCAGAATTTTATAAATGAAAAAAACATTTACAGAGTGCCTTTGATGGAGCATGACAACATCGCTCGTTTTATAGTTGGAGACGAGAGGCTCACTGCAGACGGACGCATGGAGTATTTGCTTGTGATGGAGTATTATCCCAATGTAAGTTCGTGTACAAAGATTCTGCCATTTATTGTACCCTTGATCAGATCTTTACCATGTATTACAGTGTTGCTTGTTGGTAAACTTGTTATTAGTGTTCTGCAATGAAATAAGAATCTTATGCCCGAATTTGAATCAAACATCACTCAGCCAGGTATCATGGCACATACCTGTAATCCTAGCACCCTAGCTTAAGTCAGGAGGATTGTAAGTTAAGACCAGTCTGAGCTATTCTTTTAAGACCCTATTTAAATAACAACAAAACATTAATAATTCTCTTCATTCATCTCTCTTATCTCACCTCTTTTCTTCCCTCCTTCCATTCCTCCATCATGTCCTCTGTTCCTTAACTTACCCTTCCTCCTTCCATTTTCTCTCTCTGTTTCTTTTGACAGAGCTTTTTCATCAGATGTAGCAGCACTTTGTTTGACATTCATTCTTGTGTAAGCTCCTTGACTCATCAGAAACTTACTTAATTTGTGGATGAGTACTTTAAGGTGAACGGATACATACATACAGTCATCCCTTAGTGTCCTCAGGCAGTTGCTTCTAGGATACCTACCAAACACACACGCACGCACGCACGCACGCACTCACACTGACAGCAGTTCAAGTCCATTATATAGAATTCCATGTAGCATTTGCATATATGCTTGCATATCATTTCTTGATTATATAGTGAAAATGCCATGTTAATAGTTATTCACTGTTACACTGTTTATTTAGGGAACAGTGACAAAAAATAATGTTATACACAGATGCAAAAATAATCTTAGCCGGGCAGTGGTGGCGCACGCCTTTAATCCCAGCACTGGGGAGGCAGAGGCAGGCGGATTTCTGAGTTCGAGAGTTCAAGGCTAGCCTGGTCTACAGAGTGAGTTCCAGGACAGCCAGGGCTACACAGAGAAACTCTGTCTCGAAACCCCCCCCCTCAAAAAAAAAGAAAGAAAGAAAGATAATCTTTGGGATTTTGTTTGTTTTTCTTGACTTTATGAGAAAAGAAAGCGAGGTCTGAACTTACTAAGGAAGCACTGCATCCCCCTTTCTAAATACTTTTGATATAATTGACTGAACTCTAGAATGTGAAGTCTACAGGTACAGAGGACTGACTGTAGAGACTTACAAAAACCATATGTGTTCTATTTACAAATCATAACAGTATTGTTTGTAAAATTTGGTAAAACAAAAAAAAACAAAAAAATATTTTTAAGTTGATCTGATTGTTCAAAGCAGTGTTTAAAAGGAAATAATAATTCATAATTTTAATATTAAAAACATAAAAAATTGATAGTTACGTTCCTTCTTTCCCTCTGTCTTAGTTAGGATTAATATTGCTGTGATGAAACACTGTGACCAAAAGCAAGTTGAGCAAGAAAGAGCTGCTGGAGGAGTGCTGCTTTCTGGCTTGCTCATCCTGCTTACTTGTTTTGGGGATTGGGGAGTGTGTTGTTATCGTTTCCAGATAGGGCCTTTGTATGTAACTTTTGCTGTCCTGGAACTCACTGTGCATACCAGGTTAGCATCAAATTCACAGAGATGTGCTTGCCTCTGCCTGGGATTAAAGGTGGGGGCCAATGTAGTTAACTTTTTTGCTATTGTTTGTTTTGGTGTGTATATGTGTATATCCTGCTTTTTTTTTTTTATAGAGCCCAAGACCACCAGCCTCTAATCACTAATTAAGAAAATGCCCTACAAGCTTGCCTATAACCTGATCATATGTGGCATTTCTTCACTTGAAGTTTCCTCTTCTCAGATGACTGTAATCTATGTCAGTTACGTAAAACTAGCCAGCACACTCTCTCCTCTCTTCACACCTTATCACTATCATTGTATCTTCATGGAATCCTAGCCTAGGCAAGTCGTTCAGGAGCTTGCCTAACTTGCCTCTTCTTGTTGCAGCAAATTAGTTTCAATTTTTGACATCTTTTTTCCTTTCAGGGATCTCTGTGCAAATATCTGAGTCTCCACACAAGTGATTGGGTAAGCTCTTGCCGTCTGGCTCATTCTGTGACTAGAGGACTGGCTTATCTTCACACAGAATTACCACGAGGAGGTAAGATGAATGAATTTTAATCGTATTTTAGAAAAAAATTATAATTTACACTGTTAAAATTTGAATATTAACTAATTGAAAGATCCAGCATGAAGAAACGTATTTGATTATAACAGGAAGAAAAGCAAAATGGATCTCATTAAGAATTTGAAGATTTTTTTTTTTCTAAAAATATACTTACAGTTATTTTTAGAAAAAATTATTTGAGGGAGTGTACCTCAATGGTAGAATGTTTCCTTAGCATATATAAAGTCTTAGATCCCTAATACCTTAAGACCAGACCAAAAAATCCTAGAGGTTTTTTAGACCTCTTGAAGTTTATTTGTGAACCTTACTTAGGTTAATACTCTTAGCTAGGCTATTTTTTTTTGTATTTGTTTTGTTTACATGAATAAGTAACAGTGTATTAGTTTTAATATTACATGGATCTTTATTTCATAAGCTGTAATAATCAAATATCCTTTTATAAATTAATGTTCTGCTAGCTAGAGTCAGGGGAGGAAATAACAGTGGCTTTACTTATAAAGAAATTTTTTTTCTCATATAAGAATCTCAAGAGAGAGCCGGGCGGTGGTGGCGCACGCCTTTAACCCCAGCACTTGGGAGGCAGAGGCAGGCGGTTTCTGAGTTCGAGAGTTCGAGGCTAGCCTGGTCTACAGAGTGAGTTCCAGGACAGCCAGGGCTACACAGAGAAACCCTGTCTCGAAAAAACAAAACAAAACAAAACAAAAAAAAAGAATCTCAAGAGAGCCAAGCGTGGTGGCTCATGCCTTTAATCTCATCAGTCAGAAGCAGGAGATAGTGGATCTGAGTTTGAGGCCAGCCTAAGTTTACATAACAAGGTTCCGGTATACTAGGACTATATAGCGAGACTTGTTTTTAAAAACGCTGGGAGCCGAGTGAGATGGCACATACTTATTATAGTCCTCACTCTCAGAAGGCTGAAGCAGGATTGTGCACTGAAGGTCAGCTGGGATGTCTAGTGATTCTGAGGCACCCTTGATGGTATAGTGTGACCTGGTCCCTAAGAGGAAGAGGAGGAGGAGGAGGAGGAAGAGGAGGAAGAAGAGGAGGAGGAAGAGGAGGAAGAGGAAACAGCTAGAGAGAGGATTGTGTGAGGTGCTTGGCTTCAGTCCCCAGGAACAATCAAAACCAGAGCCTAGAGAGAGTGTCAAGGACCAGTGTGGCAGCGTGACTGAAGGCTCCTGTGTTTTTTCTCTGATCTCTTTTACATGTGGCATTCATTTTCATGGCCATTTCATTGTCCATTGTGCTGTTTGCTAGGTAGCAGGGGGACAAAAGATTGTTCCCTTCCACTTCCAGAAGTTCCTGTCGTGCCCGTATTAATCCACACTTCGCCACTGGAGACCAAGAATACACTTGCTGAGGCAGTGTTAGGTTCCGTGATTAAGTGAGAGTGGATGGCATTCTTGGCCCAGGATTCAAGCTGTATTATAGCCCCTGTTGGAGCTACAGTCTTCCACAGCTCTCGCATGCTCTTCACTGGCTGTCTAAAGCATCTGTTAGATCTCTTGCTCTCTCACTTTGTTTCAATGCACAGTCTAGCACAGGCTTCCTAAATTAGCATGGCTGTGAAAACCATGCCTCTGTGCTTTCTCGTCATACTGTAACCTGTCGCTGTTCTTGTGTCTCCCTGACCTCTTTAGTGAGGAGAACTTTTATTTATTTATTTTTGAGGAGAACTTTAATGTATCCGTTTCTTACATCTGTTCCATTATGTAATAGAATGGATCATCTTTTCTAGCTGATGCTTCATATATAAATAATTTCTTCTGAATAATTTATTGATTCACTTACTTGACATCTTTTCCTGAGTACAAGATTGACCTGTTATTGCCTGTGTCAGCAACTTGATGGTCTTGCTTCGTTGTTTTAGCACATTAGCCATTGGACCGTGTTTCCTTACTTTCAAATATTATAATTCCTTTCGGAAGCTGACTTTAAACAGAATTTAAAATATCATCCTAATTCCTTTCTCAAGGTTTGCATGATTCAGCAAGGTTTTAAATCAAGTACTGGCTGATTTTTTTTTTTAACCTAAAGCTATTTTTCTCAAACATTAACTAGTGATAGCACTAGCTTCTAAAAACTTTGTATAATAACATATATATTTGAATTTATAGTTTTACCTAATTACTTCAAAAATATTACCAAGTATACTTTTCAAAATATTAAAAGCGTCCTCCCAGGGATTGGGGCATATTTAGTGTAAAGTGCTTCCTGAGCAAGTGTGAAGGCCCGAGCTCAGCCCCTTAGAGCCTACACAAGGAGCCAGGCACTGCAGTGAGCATGTTACCTCAGTACTGAGGACTGCCAGCCTAGCTAATCGGACTTCAGGTTCAAGGAGACCCTGTATCAATTTTATTTTAAATTACATTGACCTCTTTCCAGTGTCTATTCACTTTGTTTATTTGTTTGTTTGTTTGTTTGAAATAGGGTCTCACTATGTAGCTCTGTCTATTGCGGAACTCTCTATATAGGCTAGACTCAAACTCAGAGTTCTCTCTGCCTCTGTTTCTAGAGTACTAGAAATAATGGTGGGTGCCATATGCTCCTGTCTCAAATAAATTGAGTGAAGAAGTGATTGTGGAAGACACCTGACCTCTGTTCTCCGCACACCTGCACAGGGAAACATGCACATATGCATACACTCACATATACCATACCCAATTTCTATAACTTTTCTCTTTTATTATTATTTCTCTCTCTCGCAAATGTATAAATACAACCTGCTATCCAGGTGCAATGTTGCAAGCCTTTAATCCTAGAACTTGGGAAGCAGGTGAATTTCTGCAAGTTTGGGGTCACCCTGGTCTACAAAGTAAGTTCCATGACATATAGAGCTACATAGTGAGGTCCTGTCTTGGAATAAAGAAATGAAGAAAGAAATGCATCCATGCATGCATGCTTCCCATTGAACCCATTCAGTGTTGCTTGTGTGCATATAGGGCTACTTTGTTTTAGACAGTCAACTAGGGGCTCACTCTGTAGGAGAATTGGTTTTCTTCCAGTGGTCATTAATTGCCTTTAGCTCTTTATCTAGGGGTTGAGATGTGAGATTTCTCCAATTGTGTTGGCATATAAAACTGATGTTGTCATTGTTCAGGTATTCTTTGGGCTACCGTATTGTTGAGATTTCATGGATGTAGCTTCCCTGTCCTGTATAGGAGACACTCTCTTACAAGGTGTCCTGGTCCTCTGGCTCTTGTGGTCTGTTCAACCCTTCTTGTGATGTTCTGAGTCTTAGTGTAGGTGTTGTGTTGTGCATATATCATATCAGTTGGAGCAAAACACCTCATGCTAAGTTGTTATTCACGTTTTGATCAGTTGTGGCTTTCTATAATGGTTTTCATATGCTGCAAAAAGAAGCATCTTTGATGAATGATAGTTACACTTATTTGTGGGTATAAGGATAAGTATTTAGCCCAGGACAGCCAGGGCTACACAGAGAAACCCTGGTTGGGGCGGGGGGGAATGTATTTAGAATGTAATTATGCTGGTTTAAGAAATTTGAGCTGGGCTGGAAAGATGGCTCAGTGGTTAAGAGCATTGACTGCTCTTCCAGAGGTCCTGAGTTCAATTCCCAGCATCCACATGGTGGCTCACAACCATCTGTAATGGGATCTGATGCCCTCTTCTGGTGTTAATGAAGACCGCTACAGTGTGCTCATAAAATAGACAAACAAATCTTTAATAAAAAAAAAAAAAAGAAAAGAAAAGAAAGGCCAGGCGGTGGTGGCGCACGCCTTTAATCCCAGCACTTGAGAGGTAGAGGCAGTCGGATTTCTGAGTTCGAGAGTTTGAGGCTAGCCTGGTCTACAAAGTGAATTCCAGGACAGCTACACAGAGAAACACTGTCTCGAAAAAAACAACAGCAAAAAAAAACAAAAACAAAAACAAAAAAAAAAGAAAGGATAAAAAAAAGAAAGAAATTTGAGCCATAGTTTTTCAGTTGATACTTTTTCTAAATCAGCTGGCTGTGTGTGTTTTACTTATAACAAATATATTCTTTTTGATATTGCCTCCTTATATGCCTTAGAAATGAAGAAAAAGCCAAGCATGGTAACACCGTCTGTAACTAAACCACTTTTGAGGTAGAGGCAGGACAATCAGGAGTTCAGCTATGTAGAGACCAGCCTGATTTATGTGAAACCCTGTCTGAAAAAACTAGCCAACCAACCTACTAACCAACCAATCACAACAATGAACACAAAACAGGAAAAGAAAGAAATGAAGAGAAAAACAAGCTTGTACTAGAATTAGAACAATATTTACTATTAGATTCAGTTGAATGCTTAGTGCTTACTTCTTATATTATTATATATGTATTTATTTTCTAATAATTCCTCATATATATATGTATATATATATATCTGATATTGTCATTGTTCAGGTATTCTTTGGGCTACCATATTGTTGAGATTTCATGGATGTAGCTCATATATATGTATATATATGAGGAATTAATAGAAAATAATGATAATTTGAAATTGTAGGGTTTGGTTTGGCTTGAGTCTTGATGTGTCATTTACGTCAATCTCAAACTCATGATCTTCCTGCCTCTGCATCCCAAGATCTAGGATTATAGATGTGGGCCTTAACAACCAGCTTTCTTTTCCCCAGCCCCATTTTCTCAGAAGACAACTAATGGGTAAAAGAAGCACTGTCTTTTATTTACATGTATGTGGCTCCCATTACCTGCATGTTAATTTAATCTCCACTAGCTCTACTTACACATTAATAATTATTTGAAATTATCCAAACAGATCATTATAAACCTGCAATTTCCCATCGAGATTTAAACAGCAGAAATGTCCTGGTAAAGAATGATGGCACCTGTGTTATCAGTGACTTTGGTTTATCCATGAGGCTAACTGGAAATAGGCTGGTGCGCCCAGGGGAAGAAGATAATGCGGCCATTAGTGAGGTAAGTCTGTAAGCATCACAATGGCATACCCTGAAACCATGATACTCACAATGTTTATTGTTATGCCCTGTCACTTACAGACTGTTGTGAGTTAGAAAATTAGGAAATACCAAATACATGCTATAAAGACCCACATAAGGTTATCAGTTCGTTTTAAAATTCCATCTCATTTGAACAGACATTATGGAGAAGTATCTTGGAATTGGTTTTTTTGTTACTTATTTTAAAAGTGAACTTCATGAGATTGGTTACTTTTTGTTTCGCTGGTTTTTTTTGTTTGTGTTTTGTTTTGTTTTTTTTGAGACAGATTCTTTTTATATAGCCCAATTTGGCCTTGAATTTATCATTCTCCTCTTAGGGCTGAGATTTTAGATAAGTGCTACCAGACTCAGCCAGGAACTGACTTCTGAATCAAGAATAATAAGGTTACCATGTTTGAAATAGGACAGTCTACTCTCTGATTACAATGTAACACACCCTTTCTGACCCTTTTCTCTGCTTTCATATACATAGATGTACATATAAACACATATTTGCAGTTTTTAAAAGTACTAAATGATTTGCAATGCTTTGCAATTTTCTCACCCTGTCTGATGGTTTTTTTATTTTACATTATTGACTATACTACAAAGGTGGGCAGTGAGTTTGGCAGTTCACTAGAGAGCAGCCTGCAGCCTCATGGAGTTATAAAAGTTGGCATAGAACTTCTTCTTTCTCATCAATGAGTAGGTTTTGCTAAAGCAGTTAATACTGTTTATTTATTAAGAAGGGAGAGATTGCTAAAGTACAGTATACAAATGGCTCAGTGACCTGCTTAGGGTCTAATAGTATCATTTATAGCAGTACATTTTATATGTGACCTTTGGTCTGATGTTTGCTCTTCAAGATATGTTGCTTTCTCTTTCTTTAAAATACCACTTTTAATTAACCAGGTTGGCACCATTCGCTATATGGCACCAGAAGTGCTAGAAGGAGCTGTGAACCTGAGGGACTGTGAGTCAGCTCTGAAGCAAGTGGACATGTATGCGCTTGGACTGATCTACTGGGAGGTGTTTATGAGGTGTACAGACCTCTTCCCAGGTGAGAACTGCTGTTCGACTTATCAGTGTTTTGAAGCAGTACACTTGTACCTTCTTCCTCACTTATATTCAACAACTCAATTGGATACAATAATCTTTTTTCCTTTAAACCTTCAGTTCATTGCCATCTGAATATGGAATATTCAGAATAGAAATATCATTAACAGAACGAAATAGATCAGAAAGTTTTTTATTAAAAAATTACTCCAGGGGAGCTGGAGAGATAGCTCAGCAGTTAAGAGTACTGGCTGCTCTTCTAGAGGCCATGAGTTCAGTTTCTAGTAACCACTTGGTAGTTGACAACTATTTGTAATGAGATCTGATGCACTCTTCTGGGTGATCACTCATATATGTACATGTAAGTAAGTAAGTAAGTAAATAGCTCCAGGTTTTCATTGGGTTGTTTCATTCTGGTAATAAGTCCTCAGCCCTCATTCCTACTGGCCTCCTGTACTCACATGCATATAGCTACACACAGATACATATCCATATCCATACCCATATAATTAAAAACAAAAAGATTAATATGTTTTTAAAGTATATATTTAATAAATTAGAGGTTAATATTCTAGAGAGTTAAGAAATTTTTCTGAAAATAGCAGTAATTGTAAACTGGGATTTGGCACACCTTTTTTTGTTCATTTAAGTTTTTTTAAAACATTGTAACATATAATTTTAGTTTTAGAAGAATGTCTAAATTACTCCTTTATTAGCATAATATAATCAGCAACTTGCCTTTATTTTATTTTGTAATGATTTGTTTGTTGCTTAATACAGGATCTCACTGGATAGCCCCGACCTACTCTAGTGCTCTCCGTGTAGCCCAAGCCAGTTCCTAACTGTGCACTCCCCATGCCTCTTCCTTCTGAGTGCAGCTTTCACTGGCATGCACTCCACTCACAGAGAGCTGTGCGTGTGCATGCTCATGTATATACACACTTACAGGAAGGCCAGAGGTTCTCACCAGATGTCCTCCTGGATTGCTCTTTGCCTTTTGAGACAAGGTCTTTCACTGGAACCTGCAGCTTATGGATTCAGTTAGGCTACCTGGCCGGCCATCGAACTCGAGGAATGCATTTGTTTCTGCCTCCCTGGCACTGGTACTATAGACACACACCAGTAGGAACAGCTTTTTCCATGGGTACTGCAGATCCTAACCCTGGATCTCATATTTGTATAGCAAGCACTTTACTGAGTTGAGTCATCTTTTCATAAACATGTTTGCTTGCTTGCTTTTTTGTTTTGGTTTTTTTTAAAGTACTACAATTAAAAGATGACTATTGTTTTTCTTAAAAAATAATAAATAGCAGTATTAGTGGTTGGAGTATGGCTTGGTGATAGAGTACCTGCTTCTTAAGTGCAAAGGCCTTGGGTTTAATCCCCAAAAAAGGGATCAAAAAGCCCTCAGTTTTGTAAGTAGGGAGGCAATTAAGTCTTGTTTGCAGAACAGTATTTTAGAATATACATACATACATACATACATACATACATACATACGCCAAAATATTGTTCTGCAAACATATTCAGGTCTCCAGTACCCATGTAAAAAGAAGCAGCAGGGCTAGGCAGTGGTGACACACGCCTTTAATCCCAGCACTTGGGAGGCAGAGGCAGGTGGATTTCTGAGTTCGAGGCCAGCCTGGTCTACAGAGTGAGTTCCAGGACAGCCGGGACTACACAGAGAAACCCTGTCTCGAAAAAACCCCCAAAAAAAAGAAAAAAGAAGAAAAAAAAAAAAAGAAGAAGCAGCAGCAGCAGCAGGAGCCCATTACTTTGTATACTAATTTTAAAGGCTAATAAATAAAATAGCAAGGATTATAAAAGGTTAAAATTCAGAGATATGTTTTTTGTTAATGAATAGAGTCTCAGCTTAGTTAAAAGCTTTCTAGAGATAGATAATGGTAATAGACGCACAATGGGAATTGTATTTAATGCCACAGAACTGTAAACTCAAAAATGATTAAAATAGTAGATTTCTTTGTTTTAGGTATCATTCTCCAACAATAAAAAAAATACATTGAGATACTTTTACTATCACTATACAGATACCTGAGAAAAAAGCAAAGGAAGAAATTTTGATTGAGACTTTAGAGATTTAGATCTATAATTGCTTAGACCTGTATGCTTGTACAGCACATTATATCAGAAGCTGTGGCAGAGGAGTTATATGAGGGGAGACAGAAATAGTCCAGATGATATATATAACCCCAGGTGTGCCCTCCCACAGTCCACTTCCTCCTACTGGTCCCATATCACACATTTTACCACCTTCCAATAATGTCATATATTATGAATCATCAGGCTCTCATGCTCTAAACACATTGGGAGATGCCCTCATAGACATTCCAGAATGTGGAGGTACTTAATCCATTCAAGTTGGTGATCAAGATTAATTAACCATCACAATACCTATAATCTTGCTATAGAAATGGAATTCTAAGAAGAGCACATTAAGAGTAAATTCAGAGATGAAATCTGATTCTAGAGAAGTTATCTAGAGGTCTGAGAAATAGTGAGAGTAACAGCTAGGAACTTAAAAGAAATGTTTAAGTCGGGAGGATGATTTAATTATGGAGATATTTGAGAAGGAATATTGATAACTGAAAATTTTATTTTATTTTTTTTAAGTTTTAAGATTGTCTTAATCACTGTTCTATTGCTGTGAAGAGATACTATGGCCAAGGCAATTCTTTAAAAGAAAACATTTAATTGGGCACTCATAGTTTCAGAGGCTTAAATCCATTATCATCATGGCAGGGAGCATGGTAGCAGACATTACAGGTCTGGTGCTGGAGAAGTAGCTGAGAGCTACATCTTGATTCATGTGGGGTGGGCTTTTGAAACCTCAAATGCCATTCCCAGTGACACCTCCAACAAGGCTCACCTCTTGACCCTTCTAATCCTATCAAAAGAGTTCAAATCCCTGGTGACCAAGCATTTAAATATATGAGTCTATGGAGGCCATTCTTATTCAAACCATCACAATGATTTTTAACATTTTATGAGTATTTTGACTTTTTTTTTTTTTTTGGTGTTTCGAGACAGGGTATCTCTGTGTAGCCCTGGCTGTCCTGGAACTCACTCTGTAGACCAGGCTGGCCTCGAACTCAGAAATCCGCCTGCCTCTGCCTCCCAAGTGCTGGGATTAAAGGCATGCACCACCACCGCCCGGCCTTGACTTGTTTTTTGAGACAGAGTTTCAATGTGTATCCCTGGCAGATCTGGAACTTACTCTGTAGACCAGGCTGGCCTCAAGCTCACCTATCTCTGTCTCCCAAGTGCTAGGATTAAAGGCATGCATCACTATACCTGGATTTAAGAATAATTTATTATTATTACTATTATTATTTGATTAAGAGAAGCTTCTGTTGAATAAAGAAGACAGAAACTATGAAAAAGAATATAAGAGCCGGGCAGTAGTGGAGCACGCCTTTAATCCCAGCACTTGGGAGGCAGAGGCAGGTGGATTTCTGAGTTCGAGGCCAGCCTGGTCTACAAAGTGAGTTCCAGGACAGCCAGGGCTATACAGAGAAACCCTGTCTCAAAAAAAAAAAGGAAAGAAAAAAAATATGAGAAAAGTGTTAAGAAAATACAAGCAACATATACAGGGTACTTTTCAAAACCTTTTAAAAGTTATGTATTTTTATTTTATGTATATGAATGACTGTTTTGGCTGCATGTATGTTTGTTCACAAACATACCTAGTGCATATGGAAGCCAGAACAGGGTATCAGATCACCTGAAACTTGAGTTTCAGACAGTTGTGAGCCGTCATGTGGGTTTTTAATGCTCTCTTCTGGCCTCTGCAGGCACTAGGTACACATGCGTGTGCATACACACACACACACACACATACAGTGCATGTACATACAGGCAAGCAAAACCCTCAAACATATAAAATAAAATCTAAAAATAATTTTTAAAACCTAAAGAGTATTGTATAATAATTATAAAATATAAATTTTTAAAGATTTTTTTGTTTATTTCAAAATGCAGAATGTGTTTAGAGATTAAATGAAAACATATAGTAAAGGCTGATTCTGTAAAGTATTTGTAAAATAATGAGTTAAGTGTCTTGGCATGATAAAAGTAAAGTGCTACAGTATTTAGATGAAGGAAGAAAGAAAAGAAAATAATGTCATTTGAGATGGGAACCAAAAATGACTCTAAAGTAGACACACTTCACCAAACCAGAGGAGGTAAGAGGGTCAAATATTTGATCTCTTCTCAACAGCTTGAAAGTAAACGAGATTAAAGGACTTCCCTTTAGCAATCCAGTTATTATAAAGTTATTATAAAGCTTTAAGAAAATCTGTTAAGGGTCGTATCTCCCATCGTCATAGGAGATTAATATCGTTACGTCTGAACTGCATTAGTTAGCTCCAGATAAGTGTCTATTGAAAAGCTAGATTTAGAACTATGACTATTTAATGGAATTTTTTTTTTTTGGTGAGTGTGTGTGTGTGTGCACAAGCATACATGCACGAGCGCCTGCTTATTTGTGTACATGCATGGGTGCATGTATAACCTCGGGCATCATTCCTCAAAAGCCATCCTCGTTTTTTGAAACAAGGTCTCTTTCTGATGCTTGGGGCATGCTGGTTCAGCTCAGCTGGCTGACTGTGGAGCCCCAGGAATCTGCCCACCTCTGCCCCCTAGTGCTAGTACATATCACAATGGTGGGCTTTATAGGTAGATGCTTGCAGCCTAACTCAGGGCCCCATGTTTGCATGGCAAGCAGTTTACAGACTGAGCCATCTCCCAGCCTCTCTTTGCTAGTTGTTAGTGTCAAAACTTCCGTTTAAACAAAATCATGCACTAATTTCTTATAGTAAGTTTTGAAGTTAGAATTTGAATGATCTTACTTAAACAAATAGAATTATTAATTTTTAGTTCTGCTAACCTAACATTCTGTGGGGGAAAAAGCTAATAAATAACTGAGAAGTATATATAACATAATGTCAGAGGCAGACCAGCTGGGCTAGTGAAGTACAACTACAGGTAATTTGAATTGGAATTGATTGTGTAATATGAGATAGGTTTCAAGGAACAAAGTACTATAAGCCAACATCTTTAAATCTTTTAGTTTTGTCTTAGAGTTGAATGTTGATATTGATTTGCTTTAATCCTAAAAAGATGTAGAAATGTCACCTGTCTTTAAATGCAATGCAGTAGCCTAATAACTTGGGCTCCGCTGAGTAAATTATAAAAATATACAATTAATTTTTGTAAATTGTTAAAATTGTTAAAAAATACAAATAGAAGGCAAGAATTGTTTTGAATTTTGAATTTTCAAATATAAATGAAAAGTTGTCATGTTTTATGGGTTGTTTTTTTTTTTTTCCAATCTGGGTCATTATACCTTTTAGTGCTGAGCAGTGAGATAAGGAAAGCAGACATTACTACTTTACTGACAGGAAGATTGAAACACACTTTTCCAAGGAAGAGATGAAGCTCTGATTAGAACCAGAATGCCCTAACCACCATCGCTTCTAATCTGTCATGTTATTTTAGTACATTAGAGTGAGCGGTGGTGAGGAGCCAGGAAGACTGTAATTCTCTTGTGCTCTTTGCTAAGAGTCTTCTAGGACAGTGGTTCTCTACCTGGGGGTTGCAATCCCTTCAGTAAACTTTAAGTATTTTTGGAGATACAAGTTTACTCCAAAAATATTTACATTCTATTTTCTATTCATAACAGTAGCACAATTGCAGTTATGAAGTAGCAATGAAAATAGTGTTGTGGTTGCAGTCACCACAGCATGAGGAACTACATTAAAGGACCACAGCATTAGGAAGGTTGAGAACCACTGCTCTAGGCCACTGGACTTTTATGTATCAGTCTTAAAAAGTCTTCTGTAGCCGGGCAGTGGTGGCGCACGCCTTTAATCCCAGCACTCGGGAGGCAGAGGCAGGCGGATTTCTGAGTTCGAGGCCAGCCTGGTCTACAGAGTGAGTTCCAGGACAGCCAGGGGCTACACAGAGAAACCCTGTCTCGAAAAACCAAAAAAACAAAACAAAACAAACAAACAAAAAAAAGTCTTCTGTATGGCTCTCTGTGTTTATTAATACACTATCACATTTTTTAAAAAGACAGCAGTATTATTTCACTGTAAGTAAGCAGCTAATTGTGCCTATTGGTGACATACACAGTTGTCAAATACTGATAGTGTTGCTTTAACATTCTAGATTTAAATATTGCTTGTTAAGAGGAAAATTAAACAATGACATGGTCATTATCATAAAATTTTTTTATATAGGACTAACTTAGATTCCTAAGTTAGCTCATTTGGTAGAGTGCCATATAGCATTCACGAAGTCCTGAGTTTAGTCCTCAGCCCTGCAGAAACCTGGTGTGGTGGTGTATCCCTGTAGCACAAGCCCTTAGGAAGTAACAGCAGGAGGATCTAGTTCAGAACCATCCTTGGCTACATAAAGAATATGAGGCCAGCCAGGAATACACTAGATCCTATCTCCAAAAACAAAACAAAATGGAAAAATTGTAGTATTTGATACATTCTGACTGAACTAGAAGAGAACCAATAACCTGATAAGGCATAGTGATTATTCAGTCTTTCCTCTCAAATTTGGTTGCATATTATTGCAGTAAATCCTGGGATGTTTTACTATTTTTGAATATGAGGTTTGAGTTTAGGCATAATTTGAAGTACTAAGTTTTGTAATATTTTTCTCCTAAATTAAATAGCAGTCAAACTTATTTTAAAATACCTGTCTAGCCTGAGCTAGAGCTCCCTGGTAGAAAACTTACTTAAAAAGACACCAGGCCAGGCAATGGTGGCACACACCTTTAATCCAAGCAATTGGAAGGCAGGGAGGTCTGTGTGAATTTGCGGCTAACTGGATCTACAGAGTGAGTTCTAGGACAGCCAGGGCTACATGGAGAAACGTTGTCTTGAAAAAACAAAAAAACAAAACAAAAGCTCTCCAGGGCTCTGTGTTAAAGTGTATACTTAGCATGTTCATACTTAGTACTTAGTAAATACTTAGTATGTACTTAGCAAGGCCTTGCGTTTGATCCTCAGTACTAAAGAATAAGTAAGAATATCTGTATAGCATTGAAACTATTTTACTTATCAATAAAATTTGAGACTTCTAAGTATTCATAATATATCAAATCAATAATAATGTCTCTGAAATTTGCATATATTTTTGAAAGGTTTTAATACATATGATTTCTATGCTATGATATCTAATATACTATCTAATTTATATGATTTGATGTTAGAAATAGCTCTGCTATTCTGTTCTCTAAGATAACTAGAAATTCTGTCATTCTTTTCTATAAATAAACAGGTGAATCTGTACCAGATTACCAGATGGCTTTTCAGACAGAAGTTGGAAACCATCCCACATTTGAGGATATGCAGGTTCTTGTGTCGAGAGAAAAGCAGAGACCCAAGTTCCCAGAAGCCTGGAAAGAAAATAGCCTGGTAAGGAAATGAGGACTTCTTACTAGAACTAGATAAGCAAAAATAGAAGCCGCCCAACTTCGATGATTCACACCTGTCCCACACCACTGGGCTGAGACAAAAGAACCACATGTTCAAGGCCAGCCTGGGCTTCAATGTAGAACACTGTCAGAGACAGGCTAGGTGATGTGTAGAGATGAGTATATAACCAACTGCATCTAGGAAGTTCAATAAAATGAAAACATCAGAATTGTTTTTGTGTAAACATTTCCTATACCACAAAGTATTGAACCTGGTGTCTTAGGAACCACACATACTATATTGCTATAGGCTCTTGCCATCTGGGAAAGCTTGTTTTTAAAAACACCATCCAGGATTCTCTGGGTCCTTGTCATCTTTATTTCCTGTTATTTTTAGATTCTACCCAGAAGCAACATTTTTTAAATCTTATGTCTCCCTCTTACTTTTAGATAGTATTCTTTCTTTGCTGAAGTTCCACTTAATTAATTATATTACCATGCGTGTTAGGTGCTAAACATTATAATCCTTGCATTCCATCTTGGTCATACATGAGTAATAATCAGCACAGTAATGGTTTCTTTTTTTTGTTTTTCGAGACAAGGTTTCTCTGTATAGCCCTGGCTGTCCTGGAACTCACTCTGTAGACCAGGCTGGCCTCAAACGCAGAAATCCACCTGCCTCTGCCTCCCAAGTGCTGGGATTAGAGGCGTGCGCCACCACTGCCCGGCACAGTAACGGTTTCAAAGAGCTGATAATGTCCTCTGGCCTCCAGTCTTCATAATGAAAATTTGGATATAGTCCAATGTTACTCCATTTTGGGGCAGGGGAGTGTATGGTTGTTGCACATTTGGGGGTCAAAGGACAATTTGGCAGTCAGTTATTGCCTTCTGCCTTGTTGAGGCAGGGTCCCTCTTTTTATCTTTGCCACAGTTTGCTCGATTGCCTAGCTCATGAGTTTCTAGTCAGTTCTGTCTCCATCACTCGTCTCACAGAACAAGTGCTGGGATTATGCGTACATGACAGTGAATCCTCCTTTGAATGGGTTCCAGGGACTGAACTCAGAACTCAGGTTTCATGCTTGCCTGAAGAGTGTTTTTACCTACCAGCCTATTTCACAAAGACCTCCATTGCTTTCTGTTTTGTCTGTCTGTCTCTGTCTCTCCCTCTCCCTCCCACCCCCACTCTCTGCCTTTGAGATAAGATCTCAGTTAGCTCAGACTGCCCTCAAACTTTCTACATAGCTGAGGATGACTTTAAATAAATGCCCCATCCTTCTGCTTCTACCTCTCACATATTGGCAGACTTAGTTACTATTTTAGAGGTAAACAGACACCATGATCAAGGCAACTTATAAAACATTTAATTGGAGGTTTGCTTAAGTTACCAAGTGTTAGTCCATGATCATCATGACTGGATGGTCGTAGTGGCACGCAGGAGGCATAGTGCTCTGGAGCATCAGCTGAAAGCTGATGCTAATCAGTAGTCAGCTATCAGAGAAAGTGAGACTGAGCCTGGCATGTGCTTTTGAAACCTCAGAGTTTGAAACCCTCAGTGACAACACACCTCCTCCATCAAGGGCACACCTCCTAATCCTTCCCAAACAGTTCCACAGGACATGAGGATCCAGCATTCAAGTATATGAGCCCATGGAGGCTATTCTCATTCAAACCACAACATTGGGGCTACAGGAATGTACCACCACACCCAGTTTTTTGTTTGTTTGTTTGTTTGTTTGTTTGAAAGCCGTTAAGACTTATTTTTGCCATAGCAGTTTTGAAATTTCACTTGGATGAATAGATTTTTTTTCAGTTTGAAAATTCAACTTTCCTCAATCAGAACTTCTGCAATATTTCTTTTAAAATTATGTCTTTCCTTATATTTCTTTGACCTTGAATTCTCACTAAACTAATATTGAACCACCTGATACTAAAGTCTGAATTTCTTTCTTGTATTTAACATCTTTTTTTGGGGGGGGGGCAGGGGTTTCTGAGAATCAGAGCTACATGAGCCCGTACTAACTATGTAACTATGTATACTTTGAATCCCCACTTTCACCTCGAAGAGTGTGTGCCACTGTGCTGACTGTGTGGTGGTGTCCTCTAACCAGAGGCAGTCTACCATCTGAGCTACCAGATGGAAGTCCATCTGGTTTTGTCGTTGCTCAACATTGTTCAGGACTTGTTTGGCTTTATCTTTTGAGTCCTTCATTAATTCCTCACTACTACTGTTGTAGCAGTTATTTCTTAAGTGTATTTTTTAAATTTCCTGGATGGCAGGATACTTCATCAGTCCAAGGCCCTTGCCACCAAGCTTGATGACATATTTCAGTCCCTGGAATCCAGAATGGATAGAGAACTGACGGAGGCAGGTTGTCCTCTGACTGCCACATGGGCATCACAGCACATGCCATTTTCCCCCAGTAAATGAATTTAAAAATTTTTATTTCAGCTTCTGCAATCATACTTACATTTCTAGGAGGCTTCATATTTTCTCAGTGATCTCTTTTTTAAGAAAGTAGTAATGAACTGGGCAGTGGTGGCGCACACCTTTAATCCCAGCACTTGGGAGGCAGAGGCAGGCAGATTTCTGAGTTCGAGGCCAGCCTGGTCTACAGAGTGAGACCAAAGGAAGGAAGGAAGGAAGGAAGGAAGGAAGGAAGGAAGGAA